ATAACTGTGCTCCTTCTAACAGGTCCACTATGAGTGAGCCGAGGCCTTTTCCAAACTACACGGTTCACTCCAGACTTGTTCATCACACTACAAAATAAAGTGTGCATAGAAATATTCAAATAAAATTAAAATATAACAAGTAGGATATTTCAATGCATTCAGCAACTATTAAATAAAATTATCTTATTATCATAAAATGACTCAACTTAGACGGATGTATAACCCAAACTTCTGTTCAGAGAAGAAAAAGAAAGCACAGCAGGATTACACTAAACATAGCGGCACACAACTATAATCCCAGCACACTGGAAAGCTGAACCAAAAGGAAGTTAAATTTGAGCTCAGCCTGAGAAATTTAGCAGGACACTGTCTCAAATTTAAAAGGAGCATGGGGTTGCTGGGGATGTAGCTCAGTAAAATACCCTGGGTTCAATACTTCATACCACTACTACCAACGAAAGGTAAGTTACATGAGGAAAATTTGGAGATAGTCAATTAAAGTTAGCCAGACAAAACTAAAAACAACATAAAGAAAATTTAGTAGACATCATGCCAGAGGAAAAAGCAAGATGTCTTAATAACTCAAATAACTAAGGAGAGGGAAAGAACATCTATATATCAAGAGGTATTAATTAAGTAGTAATAAAAGAAATTAAAAAGGAAAGGTAAAAGAAGGGCAAGGTAACAAACACTTGCAAATCTCGGCACTCTGGGAGGCCAAGGCAGGAGAATCCACCATGTTTGAGCCCAGTCTATACAACTTAGCAAGACCTTATCTCAAAATAAATAAATAAATGAATAAATAAAATAAAATATATATATATATTTCTGGCTACTTCTTTGGGAATGGGAAAAAATAGTTTTAGTATTAGTATTTTTGCACTAAAGAATCAACAGAACGTAATTCAAGAGAAAGACCTATATACATATATATTTAAATATTTTTGTAATTTTTTTTTTGTAATTTGAAGACTTGACTTTAGGAAACCTATCAGATATTATCTATAGACCTATCTGGGAAAGAGAGTAAGAAAATCCTCCTAAAAATTTGCAATACTAGTAACAGACATCTGTAATTAGTACACATTCTTAAGATGTATGTTAGAACACTTGAAAATATGGTTAATTCTTTGGGGAAAATTAAAACAGAGATGGCTTTTCAATCTATTCCTGACATGACTGAAATGAGACAGGAAAAAAAGCAAGCAAGCATGCAAGCATCCCTAAGTCAGTATCATTCTAATTTATCTCTGTTTTGTGCTTTCTCCTCTAATGTCAATATGAGGGTAGCATTCCCTAGAAAAGATGAGGGAAAGAGTGGCAAAGAGCATTTCTAGTAAACTATATTAGTCCACCGGACAAAACTTAAGACAAATGTTGAGGGGCCGGGGAAATGGTTCAGTAGAAATAAGCGCTTCCCTGGCAAGTGCAAGGGTCTGAGTTCAATCCCGTTTCCAAAAAAAAAAAAAAAAAAATTGAGCAGTAGCGTCTCATGAAACTTCCTGCAATGAAAGGAATGTTAACTCAGCAATGTCCATCGTAGTAGCCACAAGCCACAGGTGGCTAGTAAATACTGTAATGAGCTAGAGCAATTACAGAAATTAATTTTATACATTTAGGCTGGGGAGATAGCTCAGTGGTCTAAGTGTCTGCCTGGCAAATGCCAAGGTCCTAGGTTTGATCCCTGGTACCGTATGCTGTGATGGCCCTGGAACCCCAGGCACACTGTGCTAACCACAGAAACCTGGCATGGTGGCGCACACCTGTAATTCCAGTGCTGGGGAGGCTGAGACAGGAGGATCACTACGAGTCTGAGCTG